GTGTGGTGTGATATGGCATGGTGTGGTATGCTTTGGTGGGGTATGGTTGGGGTGCGTCCCTTTCTGTATTGAAGGCCTCGGCCCTTTGTCAACACAAGAACGTAGTTGCTTGGTCATGGTCAAGAGCGGGGTCCAGGGTGGCTTTGGGGGCCTCTGGTTTCCTTTCTATTTGTTTCAGGAGCATTCCTGCGAATGGGTGAGACCTCCCTGGAAGGAGATCACTCCGGAACTGGCAAATGTTCTAGTGCTAGACCTGAGTAGAATGAAGGTCGCTAAGGTGCAGTCCCAGCCATGAATAGGCGAGGCTATCGGCATTTTGATTCTTTTTCAGCTTTTGCTCAGACCTTCTTTTTCCAGATTTTGATTGTGACTCAAATAGGCTTCTGTCAAAACGACTCAAAATGGACTCACAGAACACTGACCACATTTAATACGCGACAATCAGTCGAGTATTGCCTTTTTGTCTGTAGATGGTTTGCCCTGCACCTATAGTGGCAACTGGAAGCACTGGTGGCGGAAAACCTCAAGGAGTCAAGGGAAACCAGTGTTTCGCAACTTGATAAAAAGGGACGCAAAGAAGAAGGTTTGGCGGAATGGCCAAACAAGTTCAGTCGATGAGCGTAATGAGCAAATGCCGGTTGGCGTCGATTCCCGGCAGTCGAAGTTACTTGCGGAGAAATGCAGCATTGCCAGGGGTTTAGTCCCATCTTCCGCCTTTCGGTTGCGCCTTGCGCTGGTGTCTGCTTGAGGGGAAGGGGCAAGTGCATCAAGTGCATTTGACCAGGTCTCAGACTGCACACACACACGTGTGTCAGATAGGGTTACAAAGAAAACGAGGTGGTTTCATTTTTCTTTTGAACCAACAAATCGGATACCCTCAAAACGCAACACACACAGCATCTGGGGCCAACCTCCCGCTCAACAGATCTCTGAGCCCTGCGCCGATCATCCTGGCGCAAAGGCTCCTCAGACCTGGGAACGCAACAACGCAACTGGCATGGCCACTCCCCCCCCAAAAAAACAAACAAACACAAATTCATGCTGCTTCATGTGAAAATGCATGTTTCTCTCTTGTTTTGAGGGAAACAGTTCGCTCGAGGCTGGAAGTCCGACAAATGAGCCCTCAATCCATGACAATGATCAGAGGTAGCTACCCTTGGCCAGTGGCCTAGGTGAGCTTTTGGAACTTTCGAGTGGCTGCAGAAACATGCCGAAGCAACCCGAAGAAAGCCAAAGGACTTGTGTTTGATCCCAAACTCGAAGCAGCCATAAGGGTGTGACTCCCCACAATCGCTTGGACTTTCTCTTCATGTCCCTCTTGCCGACCAACCAAAAAGGGCTTCCTCGAAAACGGACAGACCCAAATGATACTCCTTCCAAAAAAGGCTTCAGGCCGGCTGTCAAGGTCCAAACACCTAGCCCCGAACCAAGGCACGCCCGGGGTCGCGGTCTTCCAAGCCGCTGGTGACCCCAGCACACCTCGGCGAAGGGAACCTACGGGGTCTGAACTCATGTCCTGTTGGTTTCTCATTTTTTGGAGGGGTCCGCAAAAGTTGGAAGTGCCCATGTCCTGGCTTCACTTTGGGAAAGTGTGAGCACCCGCTACGAGTATCTTCTGTTTTCTGCCACAAGAAAATGCCCAGGGTGCTTGGAAGCATATTTGGGCAAGGCCGGCAGATGCGCTTGCGACTCCAGGCAGGCCACTGTCTGCCTTCATGGCAACCCATTGGCGGCTTGCCCACCATGGCCCACCAGCCATGTGCACCACCCACCTTCCAATCTGAACCTCGCATTCAATACAAGGCCCCCGAACTGCCAAATCTGCACACATGCAGCGATGCCGGAGAAATCTGTCCAGCCTCTGAGTCTAAGAAGACATCCACCTTGACAACTTACTACAGAAAAACAAACCATGAAATCGCCCTTTTGGTGGTTGGCAGAGAAGCCCTTTGAGACTGCAACTTGCAAGTTGGTTGTATGAGCAGTACTTTTGCTGACACCAAGCATCTGGACTCTCTCTGGCAAACCTTCTGAGCACCTTTCATGTTGCACTCGGATTCAGGGAACGCATGGCTCTCAAAACCTGCAGAATGTTGCAAAACTTGTCAACTTCAGGACCTGCTTTGACTGGGCTTTTCCCAAATCCCCTGTTAGAAGTTTAACGTTTGGTGGTTCAGTGCGGAGCTAACCCCTAAAAACAACCAAAAACTTCCAAAAAACAACTAAAAACCACTAAAATCCAACTAAAACCTCAGGAACCGAATGCCAGGCATTCGGTTCCCACCCAGCCGAGTGAACCCGCCCAAGTCGCCTCCCCTCATCGCCTCCCGCCCTCGCCGCGTGGCCCGGAGAGGAGCCGCGCGGAGAAGGGGCAGCGGCAGCGCAGCGGGCCGCCGCGCCCGTGGTTCGCCACCGGCGCCGGGCCTCGCGACGAGGGCCGAGAGGCGGGGCCGAGCCGACGAGGCCGACGAGGCGAGCGAGGCGCAGGGAGAAAAACATGAGGAGGCGGGCATCAAGAAACAAAAACTCACTTCCCAAGGAGTGAAGTGGGCGAAAAAACAACATGGGAACTGTTGATTTACCGCCCAACATGGTCCGAACCCAGGAAGCGAGAAAAATGACAAACAAGTGGTTGGTGTTCTTTGTTTTCGTGGCACGCAGGCGCATGGGGCTTGCCTCCAAGGGTGTGGAAATCATTGCTTGCAGCAGGAAAAAAGATAGACACGAAACCGTGGATCAATAAAACATGGACACGCTATAGGACAAAATATGGGGGGATAAACAAGAAACAGGTTGAGATGCAACTTGTGTCACACAGAAAACTGACAAATAGGATGTTTATTTCTCGATGTTGGCTTGCACTTGAGGATCATCATCCACTGAGTTTCAGCACTCTGGCAAAACGTAGCGGAAGCTGTCTTTACCCAGCAAAAGCATTCGGGGTCAAAGACAGACTCGCTGCTCAAAACCGGTTGGCACTAGGGTTCTCTGGGCAAAGCCAAGCGACCTGGACAACAAGGCAACCCCAAGCCCCTGCTGATGTTGCCACCAAACCCGCTCCAAACCCAACTCTCCCCCCTTTTTCCCCGGCCTTGCAACGCAGCCCCCGGCTTCAGCGCTGCAGCAATCACCTGCACCGGACTGGACACCGCCCGCAGAAAAAAACCCGAGGGATTCTGCAGAAGGAGCCCCCGGAGTTGAAGTGCACCCTACGAGGGCCAAATGATTACACGCAATGTGCCCAGGATCTTCAGGTTTCTTGGGCCCCTTACAGGTGGCCCTAAAGCATGGGCCGGATTATTAAAGGTAGTCTCTAATTCTAATTCTCATTTCATGAGTCTGGCCCTTGAAAAACCCTTTTGGGTTCATGTTGATTTGGATGTTTGAGAAATAGTGATCTTTAATATGATTTAGTCTGTTCCTTTCTAGGTTCCCTTCAATTAAAACCGAAAAGCGGTCCACCAATTTGAGCAACTCCCGACACATACAACCAAATGAATCAAATGAATCAAATGAATCATCGCAACACACCTCTGGATCAAAGGTAGTGAGTGGTTCTCTGCTCTCCACAGGGCAAACAACTGATTTCCCCAAACAAAATCGCGTGGTTTCCTTGCTCTCCTCTGGTTTCCAGGCTCGAATTTCCCCGCCCAAAAAAAAGCATGGAATGAAATAACCTAGATCCTCCAGTAGAGGGGTTAGAATAAGGGTACTCTTTTTCCTGTAGTCTATTTTAGTAGGGTTCGGAACCCTCCCAACCGAAAAAGGGGTGAGAAAGGGTACTACTGGGGGACCTAGCTTCCCAAAAAACGGAATGAACAGAAGCAACCCACTGGGCAACTGGGTTCCCCATTTGGCTTTACCCCAATGAAACTACATGGGTGACCCCTTGATTTCGACCAAAAAGTTGAAGTAAAGATCCAACCCAATAGCAAAAGGGAAACCAACTCCCAGACCGTGGATGGACCATTGAAACTATTGTTGAAACCAGAACGACTGTTGGTTACAGAGGAAATACCAACGGCTCAATGGCAGCCCGCCTGCGGCGCCGCGTTCGCCGCCGCCGCGGGGTCCGCGGGGTTCCGGGGCGCCAGCTGCAGCCAGAGGCGGCAGCAGGCGCTGCTGGGGTGCAAGACGTGGCGGAGGTTGAAGTCCGTGTCCTGAGGCAAATGCGAAGGACGGGAAGGGAAGGGAAGGGAAGGGAAGGGAAGGGAAGGGAAGGGAAGGGAAGGGAAGGAAGGAGGGAGGCAAGGAGGGAGGGAGAGAGGGAAGAAGACACAAGAAAGGCTAAGTATACAAGCATACAAGCACACAAGCATACCGCTTCTGTATCCGCTTGGAGATAGCCTCCGAGTTCCGTCCATCGTGGCTGGCGCCAACCTTGAAGGCAACACATTCGATATAGTCTGGCGCGATCAACTTGGAACTCAGGACGACGATTCTGCAACAAGCATGTCCAGGGATCATTCTACGCCACATGGGTGTGTCGGTTTTTTGGGGGACCCTCTGAAATGGCGGCTTGCCTCTAAGTAAAACCAGAACCGTTGGATCTCTCGAGTTGAAAAATCACTGGTTGGTACTGCCGCCTCCGGTTGGTACCCATGTCCCCACGGCAGTCATCCTTCAGTTTCTGCCATTCCCCACTGCCGTGCTTGAGTGGTTTTAAAGGGAAACCAAGACCACAAGGAAAGCCGCCATTCTTGGGCTTGGGGTCCCCTCTGCTAAGACACACCCAGTTCGCTTTTTCAACCTCCAAGGAATCAATTGCAGACTTTGCCCCAATCAGAGGCTTTCCATGGCACAAATGGGCCTCCACAACATATTCTAGACCAGAATCTTTCCAAGCTGATCCAAAAAAAGAATCCCTCCAAACCATTCTATTAAAACAAAAAAAAAACTCCAAACGTCTAAACAGGAATCCCTCAACAAACTAAAACAGACCCCCAAACTATTCTAAAAAAACGAACCCCTTCTGAAGAAAAGGACGATAAGGGAAAAACCAACTCCAGAGGTCCGGGACCTGGACGTTTCTCAAGCTCCGAAAGCGCCGATACTCCGCCAAAGCTCCAGCCAGCGCAGCGCGTGCGTGAGCGCTGACAGCTGCAGCCGCTCAATGGACAGCCACACCTCGGGCAACAAAAGTTGCCACAGGTGAAGTCGATTCGTAACCAAAAGATGGTATTGAAACTGGGCTGTTCCAAGATTTAACTTGTAGTGGCAGAAAAAGGAAACTGCCTCACCTAGCCCTGAAACCGCCCCTGAAGTCATCTGAGTACTCAAAACAAGGTTAGTTGCATTGCACTGTATAGTAGCTAAGGGCTAGCCGCTCTTCCGCTTCACACACTTAAACCAAGAGGAAATGGTTGGTTGCCTGCTACAGCGGCAACTGGGATTCACTGGGTGGTATTAAACTGACCGAAAAGGCCACAAAACCATATAGTGTTTATAAACGCGCAACGTATCGGAACCCATGGATGTCCTTTCCTACCCTTCACTTCGGGTCTTGAGCCTCCGGCGCGCAAATTCTGTGCATCGTAGGATTCCAACCCAATAGCTGGGCAATTGGTCTAAATTCGACTGAACCTCCGGGATTTCAATGAAAGGAGTCAGTGAGAGGAAGCCTGGCGTTGTTATAACTTGCAAGACTCATGAAACGGTCTTAAACACCTCTCTGGGTAAAGAAGGGGCTTTTTGTGTATGCTATGGTGAACTGGAACTCAAACCAGGTCGTGCTGTGAAATAACTGCCACCATCCCCTCTTGGTCGTACTTTTTTGTCAGTCAATTTCAAAGCATTGCTCACATCTGAGGCACAACAAACAAATACTTCATGTTTCATATTTAGCCTACCCTAAGCTTGGCTGGTCTTGGTGTGAGCAAATCACCTTTTCGACCTGTTGGAAGCAAAACCTTGTGCTCGTGCGGGCGGCTTGGAGCAACCCAGTAAAATACAGTATGAGTGTGTCTTAAACTAGGGGGCCTCCATTTTTTGGGTCGTTTCCATTTGGCGTCCCTTTAAACCAACCCCAAAACAGGTACCCACAAAAACGCCAGACCAAACAGTTTTGGCGCAGACGGTGGCTCCATCTTGCACATCGGCACGCGCAAATCGGCGAGGCGCCGACTTCCGCAGGCTTCCGAAGCGCATCTCCTGCATCGCCAGCTTCCTGTGGTGGAATCCGAGTCCGAGCCCGGAAATGGAAAGGAAAACCAGCGGAGTTTCCATAACGCTCGCTTGTAGGGATTGTCACTTAACCTTGGCAACAGGATTGTCACTTAACCTTCATCTATTCTATTCGGGTTTGGATTGTGGGGCTCATCTGAAGGTTTGTGAAAAGTAGGGGGCCTATTGTTAAACGGTTCCCCTTTAAACGCGGCACAAGGCGGCACCAGGGCCCGAAAGAATCCATGTGTTTAACAACAACCCCTCTAAAAGCGAGCAGAAACAGCCAGGGGCCTTTTTCAAAGATAACGACATCGACATCGGGTTCATTTCGTTGCCACACAACAAATGTTCAAAGTGTTCATGGCTCATCACCCGGCTCGACTGGACATGGGACCTCGACCCATGCCAGCGCCAAGGTGCAGGTGCAAATGGAGGCCGTTCTGCTCTGGTCTCCACTGCATCAGCACCAGCATAGCCAAAGACTCCACCGCCTCCAGTTCATTTCGGGCGACCAGGGAGGCGGCCCACAGAATCGTCGACCCTAAAAGGATTTTTTCTTTTTTCATGTGCTGGAGGAGACACCGGAAACGGATGACTTTTCCTAAAGTGGAAACCAAGTGCTTTTCATTGAAACCAACATGTTCTCCCTGTAGTTGTCCTTTTGTGTCCCGTACTTGAGAAAATACACAAACAACAACACAATCTTCCCTTGTTGCTTTCCTTTAGAAACCAAGCCCGTGCCAATTGTCGTTGTAGCTTCCCCTCTCTAGTTGCTTTCTTAGTCTTCCCTTCTCCCCTTTGGGTTTCCGTGATCCCCTTTTCCCTTTGGTCCATTGTGACATTCGGAAACAACCTGTCCCTTTTTGGAGGCATAAAACGTCACCTTTTGCGGCAATGGTTCAGGTGAGTTTCCTTTTGGGGAAATATCCGCAAAAATCGAACACCCCTTTATCAAACCATGGAGTAGGGCAATCTGTGTTTGCGAATCATTGTCCACACCCGTGGGCCTTCAATCCATGAATCATAGGTGCCATTTTGGGAAAAACTCGATGGCAACCGGCAGATGACTAGAACTAAGTTCATACCAGTGCCATGTATTTGAGAGCGTACCTCAAAGCGGCCACCTACTATGGACGAATTCCGTTTCGCACCATTTTGAAACCTGCATTGGTGAAACCATAACGCTTGCTGGTATTTCCAGGGGAACCATCAGAAACCAGGATTTCTGAACGGTGCGATTTCCGGAATCCGCAACCATCCGTACGGCTCAAATTTCCAATTACCATGAAAAAGCAATGAGGAGGTGAAATAGATGGGTTTCCCTGGTAGATTATTAAACCACCAGGTAAACCAGGAATCGCCATCTATTATTATTTTTTGCCAAAACAACCAAACAGGACACCTATGGTCATTTGGGTGTGGGTCAAAAATAGGTGCCCAAAACGGAACCCTGGAAAAGGAAACAAGGACTAACACCTGCGGTGGTGGTATAATTTTGACCCACACACAGGTTAGAACCATGGTAGCCAACCCTAGTCATGCCACTTATGCTTCTAGCCCAGTGAACAAGTTGAACAAAACTCCTGAAACAAATGGTCTCAAACCCTGAGGGGCTGATGAGCAGCTGCGAGTTCCCCTGAATTGTAGGGGTACCTTCTTGGCCCATTTTGCAATGAATCTGTGGGTTTCTATGCGACCTCAGTTGGGCGTGTCTTTTTGATGCCACCCTTTTTGGGGTGGGGTGTCAAAGGGAAACAAAAGGACACCCTCCAGGCAAAGCAACGGCATGGCCAAGCGCCACCACCACCTCCCCGATCCGATCCGAGCCCATCCGCCTCCACGAAGCCGGGCAAGTCCTGCAGCGCCTGGCGCACCGCGCGCACGCGCTCCGCCACCTGGGCCAGGCCCAGGGACGGCGGCACGCAGCGCGCCAGGCACGTGGTGCCCCGCGCCAGCAGCGTCCTGAGAAGATTTTTTTTTTTCGACCCGACGCGGAGCTGCGGAACCTCGGAGCTGGGCGACTGGGGGAGTACATGGGTGTATAGTTTGAGGGGAAATGGATGGGTTTCCATGGTAGATGATGAAACCACCAGGAAAATCAGGAATCGCCATATCTAATTGTTCTTGCCAAAACAACCAGAAAGGACACCTATGGGTGAGTACCTCCAGACTTGCGGAGTGTACCCCACGCCATCCAATCTACGAACGTTGTGGGCACTGCCCAAAACCATTGACAATTGGCTTTACCTTTGTCGGCAGGCGATCGACGCGCTTCGGAGAGAAGCCGAGGCAAGCTGCCCAAGGGCCAGGTGTATTTTTGGAGATTCTGTGAGGCTCGACTGGAATTCCATCGACCCGACTTGGAGAGAAGCCGGTTCAGCTGCCCAAGGAATTCCAAGTACTTTTTTTGAGTTTTTTTGGGGGGGAGAGGGGGTACCGATTTCTACTTTGAAACGATGCCAAGCAGTGGTTTGGATTCTGATCGACTCACTTCTCCGAAGCAGTTTGGGAAGTGGATTCCCACTTGTTCTCCACAAGATTCGAAGATCCAGGGGTTCAACCCCCAAACCAACAATCCAAGCCCGGTCTTGGCCCAAGAGGCATACAAAAAAATGTGGTCAGAATCTGGTTAGCTTTTTGTCCACTGTAAGATATGTGTATGTATGTATATATATATATACACATTTGAAAATGAAGACCCCGAAGGGAACCAAAAGGTAAAAATGCTGTCGTGGTGTGTGGTTTATCACTTAGAGCTCGCACCCAGTGCTTCCACTTCCTTTTGCATGAAAGTGGAACCCCCCTGTTTCCTCAAAACTAGACAACTGGCCTGATTAGGACCCTATTTGAAGGAAACCAGAGGGCCAAGTCCAAAAAGCTTCGGCTTCACGTGCTTCCTCAGACCAGCGCCCTTTGCGCTTTCCGGTTGGCTCCAGCCATCATAGGCATCAGTTCACCCCGAAATTAGAAGTCATGGACCCCAGCAAAACCCTGCGGACCCACCGCAAAAGATCCCAGGTCACCATCCCAATCCCACGTAAGGAACCGGTCTTTGGACCACACTGGGCGTGTCTCAAAGTTAGAACACTCAGGTGATTGGTTTCCCGTGGTTTCCCGTTTCGGGCTTCGGGAAAACTAACTCTCCGAATCCACACGCCCCTTAAGTTGGGGGGGGTCTTCAAAATGGTACACCGTTTCTTGGATGGTTTTGAAGGGCAACCAGAATGAACCAACCCTCTAAATCGAGGAACACTCCTTACGTGTGCGCAGCCGCCACTGCTCTCTCCGAGGGGCTGTGCCAGCGAAGGTATGCGCTGCTTCTGCTGTAGCTCGTGCACCGAGAGCTGTAGAAACTCCTCGTGGCAAAATGTGCGACCCTGGCCACCTCTCAAAAAGAAAGCAACATCATGAAGTTGCAAGAATTGGTCTTTCAAAATCTTTAAACAGAGTGATTGGTGTGCTCTTGAAGGCTTTTTGTTCAATACCCCTTGACATGCGTTTCGAGGTCTGCGTGTACTGTCTAACCTGGATCAAATCCAAAGCATGTTGATCTCAAACGGGGAGAAACGAGCATGAACGGGCTAGAAGTAGAGGACCCCATACCGGCTGCTTCCCTTGTGCCCAAGTTGTGCGAAATGTGATCCATACGCTGGCTCGACCCTGCTTAGATGAGCATCAAATGTAAACAAGAAAAACAAAAACACTTCACTTTTGCGAGCCCGCCCCCAACAACCCACAAGGTTTCTTGGTCCGGGGTCGACATATACTGTACCAAGACGTGTTCCTGGAGCACATTTGGGTATGGTGTCAGTCAACACAGGGAGGCCCCCCCAAAAATGAGTTTCTGTTTGCCCTTTCTGTTTCCACAGAATACCCTCAAAACTTTCCTGCCCAAAGCTCATAGTTTCACTTTCCGTGGATGTTGAATGGACGCCCCCCCCACGAAACCCCAAAGCTAAGGCCTCAGGAACTGGATGCGGACTCTCCTTCAAGGATTGGCCCATGAGCTGGCCCTCCGGCGCCCCTCCGGAGCCTCGCACTCACGTTCCAGCGAGGGAAATTTTGGGTCGCGCGAAATCGGCTGGGGAGGTTTTTTTGCTTAAGGGGAGGTGTCTTAAAGGATAGATCCAAACCTGCTCTAGGAGGGAATCCTCTCGGAACCGAGTTGGATTTGTCTGGCAAAAGCGCTGGGAGGAAGGGTTCCTTAAAGGATTGATCCCAAAACCACCTGATCTGGCAGGGAATAAAAGGGATGTTCTTACCTTGAAACTGAACAAGAGTCGAAAAGTCTAAGGGTATGCCTGGGACGCACCAAGTCAACTTGATAAAGGGGTCAAACCTTGAGGCATCACTGTCAGCCGCATTAACCGCTAAATCGAACAGAAGGGAGGGAAGCTCGAAGGATAGATCCCAAAACCACCTGCTCTAGAAGAGAATCCTCTAGATCAGCTGGCAAAAGGCTTTGTGCGTCCTGTACACAGTAAGGAACCTTGTGATGCTGGGGGACCCCCCCCCCAGCCAATCTCACAAAGAAAAGAAGGGTGTGAGCACACACCAATCGCTTAACGACTCAAAACCTGACTGTATTGGGCTTTCAAAGCCCTTGGAGAGCCGACAGCCCGCGTTGGCTCGCGATGCCCATCTAGTCCTACCATAGTCACGGGGCCCAGGGGGAGGCATCCGAGGCTCCAGAAAGGTTCTTCGGCTCGAGGAACCTTTTCAGCGGTTGAGGGGCTTCAGTGTCAAAGACAAACTTTCTGCCAACCCTGGCGACATGAAAAGTGAGGGTAACGGGACATACATTTGACAGCTGCATGGTCCATCGAGGTTAACTTCAATCTCCGAGCCCACACATCTTTGCAGGGTTGCTCCCAATTCAACCAAGCATGAGTTGGCAGAAACTGTTCGGCACGTGACGAAGGAGAGCCAAGAGACCATAGTGAAGTGTAGGTTTCTTCGGCCAGGGTGGCAGGGGACCACCCCTGTTGTTGGAAAATGCGTGGCCCCCAAGAGGTAGGTTTGATATTGGGGGTAGGCAACTCTTCCCACAAAAGCACAACCAGGCAGACGGCAGCTTTGCTGAAATGGAACTGAGGACCTAAATCAAGGTTGGTCCTCTGTTAGAGCAAATCACGGGTGAAGAAAATTTGATTTGGGGCCGATAGATTTTCCAATTTCAGAGGCCCCATACATTTGTCCAGCCACGTGTCCAACCAGTTGGGGGCCCCCAAACTGCGCGCCTTGCAAGTCGTCCACGAAGATCGACTCCCAGCCCATCTGCGGCTGCCAAGTGTAACCTGGTGTTAGGCGCCGAAGTGTTCTTGTTCTTGCGTAGGGAAAATGTCACAAGGGCATGGGAAATTGGATTGTCTCCCTGGTTTCAGAGGGACCTTGGGTTTTTCGCCATAGATTGCCAATGGTCAGAGACTCGTCCTGTGGGGCGCGTGGGCGAGTCTACCCAACCCAGCTACAGTTGAGCTACCCAGGTGTAAAAGGGGACTCTTTTTGGCATGGACCAGTTTTAGTGAGCCACCCCACTAATCAAAAATGAAGGAACCTTCAGCATGGAGCCTGCCGAGCAAACCCGTGGTCAGGTCACGATTTCATTTGGTGGTTCACAGAACCAAGGAAGAAACCACAAGATATCTGGGCTGCCCTCAGATCCCTCGCTAAAAGTTTGACTTTTAGTGGGTTAAATGGAAACTACCACTAAACACTAAAAAGCTAAAAGGCTAAGGAACCGGATGGCTGGGAGCCAACAAGATACATACATATACATACAAATGAGTCCAAAACCGCTGACATCCCACATAACCAAATGGCGGTTTTCACCCCTACCTTCATCCTCAAGGATGTCCACTTCCCTTGCTGCCCTTTTCCCCTGCTCCTGTCCCTCTGATAGATGAAAGTAGAAAGCAAATGCTTGTACAACTTTCTACTTTCATCATAGTGGATCAGTGATCCACTGATCCCGTCGCAACCGTTTTGAAGCCGGGAAGCCCTCCTTCTCCGAGACCCAGCCGGCACGGTGCTGGATCAAAAAGATGTGGGCGTTGCTCGTGCGCGCCCTGGCGGTCAGAAAGGAAGCCTTGGACCTGAACCGGACTTGTCCTCAGATCCCCTGCGAAAAGTTTCACGTTCAGTGGGTAAAACGGAAACCAAACCACTGAAACCCAGAAAAGCCTAACAAAAACCGAAGAAAATGGAAACCCCAACCACTAAACCCGAAAAAACTTCAAAAATCAAAGAAACCGGCGGCTGGGAACCAAGTGAAAGACAAAGCCCCAAAAGGGAAAGTCAATTCAAACGGCTCTCATTCAGTACTTTGGCCTCCCGTGGACACATCTGTGATAAACCTCCTGCTGGGTGCTTCATGGAACGCTGGTCTTCAACGTTCAAAGCATGGGAAACCTTCAGTGCCCCGGACTCACCAAACGCTGTGCTTTGAAGCCGGCAGCTCGCCCACTGATGGGGCGAATCGAACTCGTCGCCAACGAGCTGCTCATCAGAAAAATGACGGTCTCTCACTTCCTAAGCTAGGTCCTCCAGTAGAGAGGTTAGAATAAGGGTACCCTGTTTCCAGTAGTCTATTTTAGTAGGGGAACCCTCCCAAAAAAAGGTAAAAGGGCACTACTGGGGGACCTAGTAAGTGGATTGGCCGAAAGTCGAGACTTTTTTTGCCGCAAACATGATCCTTCCATTGAGTCCACAAACTGGAGAAGTGAGCTCTGCAGCAGCTTGATGTGGCATGCCTCAAAAACGGAGGAACCTCCAAGAAACCTTTTGTGGCTCCATGTTACACTGCAGGGAAGTCGTTCTTTGATCAGTTTTACATGCCATGAGTAAGACACGTTGAACATGATAAACATGTAAACAACTGTAGATGAATCTTAAAACATGCTGCCCTGTAGGGCTCCTAATATCTGGCATGTCTTAATCATGCTCAGCTTTTCGTTTGCCTATAAAATTCCGGAGTCACCAACCGGATGCTCTATCTTACGTGGCAACCCGACCTCTCTTGTTGTCCCCCACCTGTCCCCGATTTGACAAAGTTGGTTTCGCGATATGGACATAATGAAGCCCCTAGCCACCTGATCCAAAGGGATGATTCGAATGATGCAGATGTAGAATGCTATCAATCCAAAATCTGAGAAGGAAGAGAGAGAGAGAGAGAGAGAGGTCGAAAGAAAGCGCAACTCTCTTGTTTTCGGACCCCCAAAAACGGTGTCAAACTACATGCTTCACTTTGCACCCTTGTTGCATGTATGTTCACTACCGCAGGCCTTGAGCTTACTACTCCGCATGAGTCAAAAGGTTGGCAGATGCAGACTACATTGGTTGACTGTTTGTTTGAACACTACAGCACTTGCACTTGTAAGCAAAGTAACAACCGATTTTATCGTGGTAGCGGAGCTGAGATCCTAAACATAGGGGAGCTCCAGTAAGCAGTAAGTACTACAACAACAGCAACAGCAGCCACATGCCAAACTACTACGACATGTCAGGAGAAGCAGCATCAGCCTCAGCACAACAAACTACAGGAGCAGAGAACGGGCCAACAGCAGACACAGTAGGAGGAACAGAACAAGACAACGACGTTCAGAGACTACATAGATACAAACTGCCACCACCCTTCTTCACTGGTGACTACTCCCATCATAGACCGAGACTTCGACCTGGTGCTACAACTAGCACAAGTGGCTACACGACAGATTGAGGACACAGACATCAGAACACACATACTCGACCCTACACAAGCAAGCAAAGCAGTAGACCTCTCCAGATCTACACTACATCCTCATCAACATCTGTCAGGGAGCAGCAGCTACAGTAGTAAGGCAAAACCGCTACAACGCAAACGGATGTGAAACACTACGACTACTGCACAACAGGTTCAGCCTACCAGTAGGAACAAGGAGCGTTGGTTACCTTACCAAACTACTGGAACCCACATTCAACGAAGCGCGGTTTGAAGAACAATTTCTACAATGGGAATACGACATCAACCGCTACGAGAAAGACAATGGAACAGCACTACCAGATGGAATCAAAATAGCAATACTACTCAACAAAACCAAAGGAGCACTGCAGCAACACCTCCAACTGCGAGCTGGACAGATCACGAACTACACCGAGGAGGAACTGCACCAATGGATGTTGACAACATATGGAGGAAAGGAAGAAGCTACAAAGGCAAAGGAAAAGGAAAAGGCGGCTACAAAGGAAGCAAGAGCAAAGGCAAGTACAGGAGTAAAGGACACTACAAAGGATTCGACAAAGGCAGCAAAGGAAACTACAACAAAGGAGGATACAACAAGAGCAAAGGAAAAGGCTACTCAGGATCCAAAGGATATGGATCAAGCAAAGGCTACAAAGGCCAAGGAAACTACAGCAAATCAAAAGGAAAAGGAAGCAACAACTACACAACATGCCATCGATGTGGCAAGCCCGGCCACTGGGCACAAGACTGCAGAGTGCCGGTATGGCACATAGGAGAAGGAGAAGAACTACATCCACTAGAACCAGAACAAGCAGATCACGACAACAATGATGAACTACCTCAGGATGTGAACGACACTTGGGACTGGTACTACGAAGGAGAAGAAGGACAACATGAGGTGAACTACATGGAGGAGAACTGGAACGACTACGACTATGACAACAGCTGGGATTGGAATGACAACAGCTATGAGGACACAGCGAACTACATTGGAGGCATCAACGAGTCACACCTCACCATTGGACACATCAGACAAGCAAAATCACGACTACACAAGCACAAATCCAAATCACTACTTGGCAAGAGAACAACACACACAACATCATGGAACGACCACAGCAAGAGCTTTCAACAATTCCTACAAGAAGACACCACAAAGCTACACTTCGACATAGCAGCAGCAAGACAACAACAAAGGAACAAGAAGATTGAGGACACTATCACCCACTACATCATGTACTCCAACTTCAAGTCATACCACCACCTGTTGATCGACTCAGGAGCATCTACACATGTTTGCCCAAAGGACTACGCACCGGATCTTCCACTACGACCCTGTGGAGAATCAGTTCCACAACTCTACACGGTGACCAACAAGAAGATTCCAGTCTACGGCATCAAGTACGTTCCCTACAAGCAGGACAACTTCAGGATCATGATACCCTACTACGTTTGTGATGTGAAGTATCCAATCCTCAGCGCATCAAGACTACTTGATAGAGGATATGGACTTGACTTCACTCCACGACACTGCACCATCACACATGGACAACAACAAGCACACCTCATAAGACACTCAGGACTTTTCTACCTACGAGCAGAGAAGATCGACATTCCTACAGGATTCGACATCTACCCAATGACTACAGACAATGGAAAATCCATTGCTGTGATTCAACCTACAGAGAGAGCAGCACAACAACAAGAACAAATCGCACCACTCACACACACAGACCAAGGACTACGACAGATCCTTGGTGGAAACACTGACTACTGGAAACTTGATGGTGACTACGCCATCAGAGTACACAAACGACCACGCAAAGCACTGTTCACACCACACAACAGTGGCTGCCCAATACCAGAAGGAGAACTAGATGATTGGAGACTAACCATCATCAACAGACAAGGGCAAGAGCAAGAACAACTACAAGAGAACCCAACACAACTTTCCAAGCAAGAACTACAACGAAGACTAGAAGGTGACAACTGGACTGGAGAAACCAGATTCAGAAGAAAGATAACACCTACACGCAGAGCAACATCAAAGACCACACCAACAAGGCAGAGCTCACAACCACAACGGCTAATGGACACACCACCAACCAGATCAAAGATCCAACTACGAGCACCACAAAAGATATGGAGACCTAAAGCAGCACCTTCTACAAATCTTGACACCACACAACCAAAGGAGACAATACACAGACCACTCACAGCACAGGAGGACAACCAAGACTACTGGGAAAGACAAGGTGAACACTGGATACGACACCACACAACGCTTAGAACAACTCTCTTCACTCCAACAGATGGACCAGGACATCCACCAATCAACACACTTGAACCTCACAGAACTACAATCACTCACAACAACTTTGGAGAAGTTTCACAACGCAAAGATGACTGGACAGTCATGGGCAACGCAGCACTACCATTTCAATGGAAAGGAACAACAAGGTTTACCGTGAAGAAAGACTACGAGTACATCCAGGAGAACCACGATGAAGAACAACAACACGAGCATCATGAAGCACACAGAGCAAGAGGACTACGACAACCACAGCAGCCCACTCCACAACAAATAGCAGAACACAACTTACACTACCATACAGAAACTGGTGTCCAATTTGCGTTCAAGGCAAAGGACGCCAAGACAACTACAAGAAACAACAATCACGACAACCTGTCATTCAAGTAGACTTTGCCTACATCAAGTCACAACAAGACCCAAAGACCACACCGGTACTGACAGCAGTTGATGTTACTACACAACTGTGTGTGGCAGTATTGGTTCCAGACAAAGCATCAATGATGGACTACATGGTCAACAACCTACAAGCATTCATCTTTGAGTGCGGAAGAACACAAGGCATACTACAAAGCGACAACGAAGACACACTCAACGCACTTCTAAAAGCTACAGCAGCAAAAGTCGGCACAATGAGTGTACGACATTCACCTTCCTACAGCAGAAACAGTCAAGGAAGCGTTGAGCGACTACATAGAACACTTCTCGGACAAATCCGCGTCGTCAAAGCTCAAGTTGAAAGCAACTACAGCATGACGATGTCCACAAAGCACTGTCTACTACCTTGGATAGTACGACATGCAGCATGGACGGTAAATCGCTACGTCATTCACTAAGACGGCTACACAAGCTTTGAACGCCGCTGGGGAAGAAACTACGAGCGAGCAATCTGCGAATTTGGCGAGACACTACTCTACCTTCCACCACAACACAAGAAACTTCCGAAACCAGACCTACGAATGCAGAAATGCATCTGGCTCGGAAAAGTTTCCGAAACCGGAGAAAACTACGTCGCAACGGAATCAGGCGTACAAAAGGTACGAACAGTACGGAGACTACAACCGGACTTCAAATACGACCTCGCACTGCTGAACAAAGTTTCCGACGGAACACCTACCCGCTGCTGGGACGAACTGTCCAGTTTGCCAGGGAGACGTCCGTGGGGCAGAGGATCTGCTCCCGGCCACCACCTCGTCGGCCCCTCCGTCGTCCGGGAAGCGCACGGCTATCTCCAGGGCCGAGGCTGCCTCCGTGACTCCCAGCTTGCCGGCCAGGAGGCCGTCTATTTGCAGAACGGTGTAGTAGCTGAGCAGGGAGGCGGCGATGCTCGAGGCCGTTGCCGTGTCCTGGTCGGCGGCCGAGCGGTACGCCACCAGCGCCGAGGTGATCTGGTTGGTCGTGAAGACGTCCAACCCATCGTTCGCAACACTGTTGGATACGCAACTACAACCGTCAGAGAAAAGAAGGTCCACGCAAGATTTCGGACAACAGACGAACGCTACGGACGACATCGTTGCGGAACCCGCGACAAACAACAACGCACTACACCACCTCCACGACTTCCGTCTACATCGACGTCAAGTTCACGACCACTACCGGATAGTCCTATGGCTACTTCACCAACCGGACGACAACATCCACCACTACCAGCACCACCTCGACAAACACTAAGACGTTTAACTCCGGAAGAAGTAATGCAACCAACTAAAGCACAGAAGACCTCAAAGGACACTACAATCAGATCAACGGAGCAAGCAACCAAAGAACCACCACCACTACGACAGAAAATCAACGCAGTGACACTTCCCAACGGCAAATTCATCACCCCCTACACAAACGACGACATAATCTTCGACAACGCAGGTTACGACGAAACACAACTACTGGAAGGAATGAAACACGAGTCAAACCAAATGAAGCTACATGACGTCTACGACGAAGTAGATGCGTCTACCGTCGACGACAACGTCATCAGAGAAGCGATACCTACAAGATGGGTACACAGAAAGAAAGGACCAGGAGTGCGAAGCCGAATCGTCGCAAAAGGCTATCTACCTACACAGAGAAGATCGAAAGACTCCGTCTACGCCCCCCCCCTCTACATCATCCCTCACTTACCCGCACACAAATGGTTCAGACACTCCCGGACACCTTTCTCGCCTACAAATGTCACGACCAAACTGCGATCTCGCCTTTAGACGCGACCCCTCTTAGGTGAAGTGCCTCCCTCTGTCAGCACTTCGAACTCGTACCTTAGAAATTAATAAAAGACCAACGATAACGGAGGGTTAATCATATCGGGTAAGGACGTAAGGGGGAAAATAAGTCAATAAAACAGAAAACGAGAAATCATTACTGATTATCGATTAGGGGGAAATCCTTATGAGTAATACAATTTTGGGAGGCCCTCCCACCCTCGCACCGCGGTCGCCCCCTACCCCCCCCTAATCTAATCCCTCCCCCCCTAAAAAGAAACCGCCCAAGCAGGGGTTTGGGATGAAAAGGTGGGGTCCTGTGAGAGCGTGCTAACATTATCTTAGCTCCACTTTCGGAGTGCGTGCAGCAATTCCTGATACTCACCTAGACTACATCAAGACTCTCCGCAGGCTTCGCCTCTCGGAAAATCGGGCGAGAGCTTCCAGCTCATTTCATGACCCAGACGTCACCATCATTCCATGTAATGGTGCATTGGGCATCAAAACAGGTGACCCCCACGTAGCACCGGCCTTGCACTTCAATCTGCACCATACTGGAGCCAACTTCCTGAACTTTCGACCACTCCAACTCCATATCCCAGGCTTTGTTCCAAATAATGTGGCCTGCAAAAACCTCCCCGACCGCTGTGCCGTCGGATTTCCGAAACCACCCCCCCTCCAACCTCTGGACCAAGGCATGACTGCCGTCCGCAACCGCCATGTCCGTAATAGACAGCGACTCTTCGGGATAGCCGTACACATCGTAGGGCTCCGGTCTAGAATTCATCAAAAGCGGGTGGTCAGCATCGCCCCCGCAACACCTCTGGACCGGTCGGCACGAAGTCCCTGCGCTGGGCGAGCAGCTTGCCCCCATGGCTGCATCGGGATGGTAGCAGCCTGCTCTTGGCCGGCAGTTCCTCCCTATACTCAAGTTGGGTGAAGGTGAACCTGGCAAATTCTACTGGCTGCTGCGCATATTTGCTCACACTCTTGCTAGCTCAAATGCCAGGGCTGGGTGCTGCGCAACTTGAGCCCAGCTGCCCATTTGCAACATGAATCTTGAAATTAGCACAACCAAATGATGGCCTGAGGACACACAGATGGATCAGGACACACAGATGGATCATCTAGGTAACACGTACCGTAGACGGCAACCACTGCATTGGGAAAGCCAGGCTTTTGGCCAACGCACCCTCCAAGCGGCACATCCTAACAATCCCCAGCCCCCCCTTCCCCCTAGCCTGGGCCTGGCCCTGGCAGCAAGTCACCAGCTGCCTGAAGGCACCCCGACAGCATTGCTTGCAGAGGTGTCCTTTTGGGGCAAATAGATGGCCCTGGTAGATGATTAAACCACCCTTTATCTATTTTTCGACCAAAATAACCAAAAAGGACACCTATGATTGCTTGGTACAGGGAATGGGGTTGATGTGGGTTGTTCGCATACAACTGGACAAGCTACGATTGAGCAGGTCCAAAATCGCGTGAACTCGCCCAGCACGGGCAGCTCGGCATACGTGAAAGGCAAAAACAGCCGCATCAGGCCAGCGCAATTTGCAGCCCTTCCAAAATAGACTCCCAAATGAATCTTCCACCCTGCCTCCCATGCGGGGAGCAGGCCGGCGGTCGCAACATCGTGCATTTGGTCCTGTCCCCCGGGAGTCGACAAAAAAAGCTGGCAAGGAGGGCGTGCCGGACATGGCCTGCTCCTTTTTTTTTGACATTGAAGTCTGCGGCATGGGCCGGCTATTAGCTAACTCTTGTTGTTCCACTGCATCAAGCACTTCTGCTTGCGAACAGTGCCACGGCTGCAATGTGTGTGTGTGTGTGTAACTGCCCTCAACCGCTGGTCATTTGCCAGATTCCTAAAACGCGGCGCCGTGCCTCATCCAGAGACAGCTGCCGGGCCTTGGACTATGCTGACGCTTTGCTTGCATTTCTCTCCGTGCAATCTCTCACATCCTGGCAAACTTGTGGTCGTGAAACTTTATCTGTGCAATCTCTCAGGCGAGTAACATCTCTCTGTGCAAACTCTCAAGCGATCTTGCGATGTTTTCTTGGGAAGCAGGACGGAACTTCAACACTCACCAGCTGCAAAGATTGGATCAACATCAAACAATTCTGGCCTTGTGCTGATGCTACCAGGGCCACTTGAATGTCGGCTCGCAGTGTGTTTACAGGACGCACGCCCTTCTGTTTCTCTACATTTCTTGTTCTCTTTTTTATCTCTCCTTGTCTTCCTTGCTCTTCACTCACCGTTTTGTGCGATTGCAAGCGTTGCTTCCTGAGACCTCAGCAAAACTTAAGCAGATTGGACATTGTGGCTCATATGTAATGGTGTGCTATGGTGTGCCATGTGGCGTCATTGTGCTTCGTGCTGCTTATTGTGTGTGTACGTCCTGCCGCGCCACACATCATCCAGAACAAGATTTGCGGCCTCAAACAATGCTTGCGGCACGCACCCAACGCTTTGGCTTAGACACGCGGCGATCTTGACAGAATCACGTTGGTGCTTGCTGGTGAAGGTCTGTGCTCCTGGCTTGGCTGCAATCAGAGTAGCGTTTTCCAAACCCGCAGAAACATGCGGGCCCAAACTGTTCACAAAAACGTGAGAGGTCAGCAAATTCTGATGGCCATGCTGGTATGCTTCAACAACACACACACACACATGCCAGCTGCAGACACTGGAGTAAGTTGACCCAGCAGCCCCGATCTCTTGCAACGAGGCCCCGCGCTGCAGTTTGCACCGGCATCTCTGCTGCCTGCATCACCTGTCAATCCAACTATTCTGGTCTTGTGCTTGTGCCACGGCCACTGGAATGTCACCGGCAGCTGTTTGCGGACATGCTCCTGTGGAAAGTTGACATCACGCATGTCTTGTCGTTTCCGCTCACTCTCTCTCTGTCTTGCGCTCTCTCTTTTTTCTTCTCTCTTTTGTTTATCTGTATCTATTTCTCTCTCTCTCTCTCTTTCTCTCTATCTCTCTCTCTGTTTCTCTCCTCCAATGTACAATGACAGGAATTCTTTCGGATGGCTTGCTAACACTTGTGCAAATGTGAATTACCTCGCCCAACACTTTGGTCATTGTGGGTCATAACACAAGGAGTATCGCGATGCGTCATAGCGTAAGGTATCATGTTTTTGTGCTGCATCATTGTGTATGCGTCTCATGCCATGCCACGCCTCGTCCGGAACGGAATTTGGGGCCTCAAGTGACAGGCAGAAACATGCGTGCCAGTAGGCAAAGGGTTCACCAAACAGTGAGAAGCCGGCAGGTTCTGATGGCCACGCTGGTATGTTTCAACAACACGCACACATGCCAGCTGCAGAAACTTGAGTAAGCTGAGCCATCAGCCCCAGTCTCTTACAACGGCCGTCTGTGCCCCGCGCTGCACTTTGCACCGGCGCCCCTGCTGCTTGCATCACCTGTCTGTCAAACTAGGATTCAATGTCACCGGCCAGCTATTTGTTGACATGCTTCGTGATAACTGGACGTCAGGGAATAAGTGATTGCAGCGCGCATATGGTGATGTGGCACAGTGCACCATCAGAGGCATTGGCTGTTCGTACCAATGAATAGTCTTATCGTGTGTGTGTGTGTGTGTCTGTGCCGGGCCCCTAATCTTCGGACACGACCTTGTTGGACGTCAATGGAGTTGTCACCCACCGATGGTGTCCGTGACGAGGATGGTCGGCGGCGCGAATAATGCTTGAGCGTGCAATGAGCTGAAACTCCTTGCCCTGGCAGACACCCTCAAGCTGTGCTTCCAGATTTGCACCCGAGTTGATATTGGTTGTGAACATGCGAGATGATCAGAACGTGTCTTTGGCTCCATCCCGACCCACGACGGCTATTGCTTGCTGTGTCCCTGTTAAGTAGCCAGAGCGAAAGAAGCTCGACCCGACCGCACTTGACCACTCGGTGTGCTTCACTCGACTCCGAAGTCTAAGTGTGTGTCCTGCCGAAGTCTAAGTGTGTGTCCTGCCAGGCCACGCCTCGTCCGGAACGGGATTTGCGGCCTCAAACAATGCTTGCAGCACGCACCCGACGCTTTGGCTTAGACACGCGGCGATCTTGACAGAATCACGTTGGTGCTTGCTGGTGAAGGTCTGTGCTCCTGGCTTGGCTGCAATCAGAGTAGCGTTTTCCAAACCCGCAGAAACATGCGGGCCCAAACTGTTCACAAAAACGTGAGAGGTCAGCAAATTCTGATGGCCATGCTGGTATGCTTCAACAACACACACACATGCCAGCTGCAGACACTGGAGTAAGTTGACCCAGCAGCCCCGATCTGTTGTAACGAGGCCCCGCGCTGCAGTTTGCACCGGCATCTCTGCTGCCTGCATCACCTGTCAATCCAACTATTCTGGTCTTGTGCTTGTGCCACGGCCACTGGAATGTCACCGGCAGCTGTTTGCGGACATGCTCCTGTGGAAAGTTGACATCACGCATGTCTTGTCGTTTCCGCTCACTCTCTCTCTCTCTCTCTCTCTCTCGCTCTTTTTGGCAACTGCAAATTACGGCGCGCAACAGCTTGGGCGCTGTGGGTTTTGGAGTATCGTGATGCGTCATGGTGTGCCGTAAGGCATGATTTGTTCGTTCGTTCCATTGTGTGTGTCCTGCCTCGTCCGGAACGGAATTTGTGGCCTCAAGCACTGCAATCAGAATGCAGCCAACGCTTTGGCTTAGGCAAAGGGCAATCTTCACAGAATCCTGCGCGCGCGCTGCTGATGGTCTGTGCTCCCGGCTCAGCTGCTTTACAATCAGAGCGCTGCTTCGCAAAGCAGCTGAAAAACAGTAATATGCACGCCCAAACAGTTCAGCAAAACTGGCAAAACTGGCGAACCCGATTCCATGCAACACCACAGGTCGTGCCGTCTGTGGCCCCACGCTGCACGTTGCACTGGAGCCTCTGCCACCTGCATCACCTGCCAATAAGAGCTCATGCTCTAAAGCCAGTGGCGAATTCTGCAACCAGCGTTCCATGCTCTGCCCTGTCATGCCGCAATGCTGCAGGGCCGACAAAGCCAGCTGGCCAAGAAACCATATTGAATCCTGGCACTAATGACCGAACTCAGCATTACATTGTTGATTCAACTGTATATGAAGCACGGTCTTTTCGTGCAAGCTTCCAGGTTCAAGATACAAAGTTGGTATTCCCATTTATGCAGCACAGCAATAGCAACACCACCCAACAACAACAAGCCAAGCAAGCAACCAAACAAATGAAGCGAACCACGCCAAGCCAACCCCACCCACATCCACCCACCAACCGCGGACAACAAGCATCACGCGTCAAGCAATAAACAAACAACAATCAGCAAAAACAAACACAGCAACAACAGCAACAACAGCCGCAAAAGCAGGGGTCCAAACACACTACCCATCCACACCAGCTAGGGGTGACCTCCTTTGGGCCGACCGCCGTCCATAGTCCGCCAGCCAGAGGTCTCTTTGCTTCTTGCGGCACATGCCGAAGAAAATCGGTGCTTTGCACGGTCCAAGTTTCGCGGTTGCCCCGCGCACCCACTTGCGTAGGTCCCTTCGGGAGCACGATCAAGTCAAGGATTGCACAGGCATACCCTGGCAAACCACCAACAATAGCGTACGGACCTTGCGGGCCTGAGTGGCGCCCCCTCATAGCCCCCAATGACATCTAATCACAGTCCCCAAATCGTCCAAAGCCAAGAAACGTTCAACTCAGCTCAGCAATGCTGCCACCCCGGGCGTCGGCAAGGTACTTGCCTCTCTTTTTTTTAATAATGCAAACGGTCGTGTGCCAAAATCTCTACTTTGCAGAGATGGTCAGCATCGATCTGAATTGGGGCACTCGACGGATACACTGCAGGCTGGGAAACGGCTTCTGGCTTTGTGTCAATCAAGCCCGGAAGCACCAGCCAAACAATCTTGAAACAAACATCATCATCCCCATTGCCTTCAGAATGTCAACTG